ACACCAATAACTCTTTTTTAAATTATTGAATTACTCTTAAAATTCACAAAATATTAGAAATCAAGTCTACTATCCATATAAGTAATTTATACTTCAATCTTATTTGCATATTGATAAAGAGCTTAGAAACTCTTATTGACCCTCAAGCTCTAATATTTGAGATCTAAATCCACTTTAACTTCAATAATCTTTAATTTAATTATTTTATTAAGTTCAAATTTATAGCACATATTTAGTTTAACTATACTTATAAATGCCCAAAATTTTACTTATAGAACTATTACAAAATTCACGAAATTGTCCAAAATATCAATCTTATATTATTGCACAAAAAACACAGTCACCTAAAACCATCTTGATTTTGTAAAGCTCTTACAGAGTTAATTCAAATTCAAATTCTTTAAAATTAACACTTAAAAAAAATTAATTCTATATGCATTCAAATTCTATTCTTGGATTTACAAAAATAATTCCAAAAAAATCATAGGTACTTGGTTTTGAGCCTTGAGGTCTAATTTCAACATTAGTTAGCAACTAGTCTTCTTTGGATATTAATTCGTATTTTTTTGAAATATTTTTTTATAAAATCAATTCTTAATTCCATCTTACATATATTTATATTCTTTATTTTTTTAATCTATATTATTTCTCCTTATTTATAGATATACATAATAAGTAGAACTTATTTTCATAAAAGGTAGTTCTAACACTATAAGAAATTACTACCTACATATTTTTTATCTTTATTTTTTTATTATATTTTTTAATTAGGCTCTTTTATAATAATTTTTTTTTACTTAATGGTTGTATTATTACACAATAACACCATTCTTAAAGTAAATCCATGATTACAAGAAATCTTTTATTATTAATCTTTGCTGTTTAAAATTTTTTAGAATGAAAAGCTACATTGTATAGTTTATAATTTATTCCTATTTCTAACAATACTACACCTATAATAAAGTTTGATGTATCTATTATTAAAAAAATTACACCTTAAAAAAGTCAATATAATATAAGATTTGTACAAAAATAAATATTATCTTTAAAGCTTTAAAAGATATTTTAGCTTCTTTGCTCTACTTAAATTTGTCTTTACAGATAAAATGAATAAGAGGGCTTGTAATTTTTTAAAAAGAATTGATGAAAGTTTAATAATAATTGAAAATTTTCAAAGAATATTGTACATCCTTGACTATTTTTTGAAGCTTCCAATCTATGATAGCTTTTACTTTCTTAGGATCCATTATAAGACCATCAATTGAAATGATGTATCTTAAAAGTCAACTTGAATAATAAGAAATATATAATTTTCAATCTTGGCATATGATTCTACATCTCTTAGTTTTTTTAATATACAAAAAATGTAAAATTTATATTTTTATGTATTCTTAGAATAGATTAAAATCACATATAGATAAAAGACAACAAGTGTAGTATATATAATAAAAGCTCTCTTCTTTTGCAATATGCATACAAATTCTTGTACATACCAATAAGGACTTGGATGTATTAGACTTATGGATTTTTATTTGACTAATAGAATCTTGGACTAATCTACAAGAAAAATTAAAGTTACAAGAAATGTAATCTATTTGAGGGTTACGCTTTTTTAGCTATAATAATATTAAAATAATTAGATTAAAAAGAGATCTAATCACATTAAATATTACTAAGCTATTATGATCTTTAGTTTCCACATCTAAAAGAACTATTTTTTAAGTAACATCTTTAAAAGACAATAAATGATCATCTATGACTTCTACATGCAAGAGTTTATTTTTCCTAAGTAAAGATATTTCTTATTTTTTAACAAAGGCTAAACCTATAGAACAAGCTAAAGCTCTTGAATCTAAGAAGATAAAGACTTTATAATTTTTTAGATCTAAAAAAATTTCTATTGTAAAACAAGATGGAAGATATCATAGAAGAAAAAGACATTTACTAGGTATTATATAAGATTCGAACCACATGGTCTTTATTGTAGTTGGAAAAAATTATTTTTCAATACATCTTTTTCTTTGGTAAGTATACTCCTCATTCTATGATTGTATTGCTTCTTTGAGAAATATTGAGTAGTGTGCTTAGGTTCTTCACAATATAAGCACAACCCTTCTTGTTAAATCTGAGTCTTTTTTAGCTCAGTGAGATGTTTGAAATGTATAATATCAATTTGCATAGGATTTGATCTTAATAAATAAGCTTATGTAAACTTAGAAGTTGTTGCCATGACTTGACTTGTACCTCTTCATCCAAACCTTTGTTCTTAGTATCTTTCAAAGAATTGATTGTTGCATGTAATAACTTCATCAATAAATTACTCTAATAAGTCTATTCTAGACATTGTCAACAATAAATCTTTAATATTGTCTTCTAATCCATATCAAAATTGATAAGGACTTTGACATTTTAATCCACATTGTAAGTAAGGTTTTGAAATTTTATAGCATATATAGTCATTGAACGTAATTATTGTTATAAAAATAGGAATTAAATCTCTACTATTCTTTTTCAATCATTTTTTCCAAATGTGGCCAAAAAGACTTCTAAAAATGAATTCAAATCATAAAGGAATCATGATTTTTTTTCCATCAAAGATAAAAATCAAAAAAGAATACTCTTGCAAAGAAGTGCACCTATGAATCCAACTTGAGTAAATTCATCAAGGTGTTGAGAAGGATGCAACTTTAAAAAGAACTTCACATATTATAGAAACCTTTAAAATTTTGATCTTGTTTTATTAAACTTCATTGGCATACTTATCCTTGCTTCCCTCATACTTATAGAAACAAGGCATCTTACATTCAATTAGGAACTTAATCCACTTGCTTTTCTTAATTGCACAACTTTTTGGTATAGAATTTGAACTTGTTGTTGATCTCTTCTATATGCTTAGAAATAGTACCTCCATGATTTTTATTAAAAATACATGAGATTTTAATCCTAAGAATGTTGATAAGTTCGTGAAGATCTATAATAGTTATAAATCTATTTTTACTTTTATCATGAATAGCATTCATAATTTTTTCTTCTACATACAGCTTAAATAAATCTACAAATCAAATTAAAAGAGGATAATCTAGAACCTTCAATACTAAATAAAAATTTCTACAAAGAGAGGTAGTCAACTCTTTTTATAAAAAATAATTAGTATTTAAAAAATAAAAAGTTAATTTAAAAATAAAAATTTTGTAACCTCCAAAATATAATAATAGAAGTAATGTAATTCACTCACTTCTAAAAAAATAAAAACAACAAATTAGCACTCTTGTTAAAGTGTTAAGGATATCAAATTTAAAAAACTAAAAGATCAATAAATTCTTGTATTACTCAAAAAGATTAGAAAATCACTCAAAGATGGCATAATATTAAACTAGAATGACTATTGCCAAAGACAAGAAGACTAGAAAGTCTTAAAACAAGACTAAGGACTAAAAAAGTATTGACAAGAGTGAAAAAGGCTTCATTCTTGCTTCATATATATTATCTAATTATGAGCTACATAGCGACATCTTATAAGATCTCCAATATATGTCCAATTTATTAGATACATATTTTAACTTACAAGGCAAGTTTTCTATATGCACGCCACATTGTTAGCTTGTATCACAAGCTATCTACACATGCATCACATAGCAAACTTGTTGGCGAAGATTTTAACCTACCAATCAATTATAAATATGCATAAAGTCAAATATGCAAGAATGAAGCTTCTAAGAAGTTATACCATAAGATAATATCAAATCTAATTACATTTACCTTCTACCTAGTACTTCTTATCAAAGTAAATATATATGTCTATAACAAGTAAATAAGAATAGAATTCCTTGCAGCAATAATAGAAAGTAGGATCATGGTAGGGTGAATATAGAAATTTAACTACCATCTATTATACTTAGCATTATCATAAGTCTATGCTAATTTTTAAACTCATTAATAATTTGCATAATCAAATAAAAATAAAATTTTCATATACTATTAGTTGCAAAATATTCTTAATTGTTTTATAGCATTTCTTCATAATATCTAAATTGGTTCTAAGTGGTAGCTCAAATAAATCTCCAACCATTATTAAATTATTATCACTACCTAAACAATAAAGAATTATATCAAGTCTATATTCTACAAAAATATTTGGTCTTAAGTACATATCTTACTTCTTTAAGGCATGCTCTAAAAAAAATACACAAATACTTAAATATAAACATACTCACATTCAACAACTTTCAAAAACCATCCATTAAATATGATCTCAAAAGATTACATTCCAAAAAACCTCCATCTTACAATCTTCTATATTAAAAAACAACCTTCATTATCATTTGTGCATTATATTGAAAAATTGCAAGTTCTTGCAATCCTACAATGCTTACAATGACATACTTCATAACCATAAAAATTGAAAGCGGAACAATCATGCATACTATTCTAGGATTCGCAGCTACTCATAAAAAATAAAAAATAAAGTCATGAAATGAAGTAGTTGAAATAGTGTAAAATAGGTTGGGTCCTTGTAAACGATATGGGCCATGGCAATTGGACTTACCTTTTGGGCTTTCTCACTCTAACCAGCCGAAAGTCACATTTACTTACATATTATTGAACTTCTAAATTAGCCTTTGCCCAATTTTAAGTGGAACTGTCCAGGGTTTGCTCAACCAAATGGCCATAGTGTGAAGTGGCCCTCATTCACTCCCTTGTGAAACAAAAGTAACAATAAAAAGGTAAACAATTGCATCTAATGCCACAGAGAGAATGGTGAGTGCGAAGAGTCTGTCTCTGGGAGGATAATCTCAGTGGATTGATATCTGCTTCGGAGGGTCCTGGTTTCCATGGTCCCAGTTGACACACATAACTATTGACTGACTCCCTTTATTTTAATCAACCCTTTTTTGTTTTGAACTTTTTTGTTTATTGTTTTTTTGGGTCTTGCTGGCTTTTACTGTGAAGCTTAGACTGATTGGTGGTGGCTTTGCGTGTTGAGAGCCATGCCGGTGAGCGTGGAGAGCTGATTCTTCAGCGGAATCCTTGAGCTTTGCGGTTGCGATTCTGGTTATCCTCCTTTTTCTGGCTGCTGTGGCGGTTGAGGAAGTTTTTGTAGCTGGTGTTGTTGGGAGAATGGTAGCCCGACCTTAGATGATGAGCTCGTCCAAGCTTTCGAATTTCGATTAGGTTGTTTTGTCCGGTTGCCAACTGCGAGTTGCAATTTTCTTGCAGGATTTTCACGTCAATGCAGCTGCGATTGATGAGTATTCTGATAGCGCCTGGCTTCTGCAGTGAGCTTGTTCCCCTGCTCTGTTGAATTTCACCTTTCGCCCAACTTCGCGCTGTAAGAGCACATTGAATTGTCTGCATTTTTTCAGTGACACTCGAGCTCAATTGGGTACTCTGAAATTTTGATATTCGCAGGAGGGTTGTGTAGTGGATTCAGGGTCCGTGGGGTTCTTCACCGAGAATGCAGTTGACGATGTAATCTGTCATTCTTTGGATTCTGATGGCTAAACCCCTGCTTCTCCCCGCCACTACTGCCCCGGTTCTCAAGAATCATAAGAAAGGTTTAGTCAATGAAACATCCCTATCCTGCAGTTATCCTACTGGGTCGAATTACCACTTTAGAAGCAGTCCTCACCAAAAATTAGCTTGGGATCAGCGAGTTGTGGTGGTAGCGGTCTCAAGGAGAGGCTGGAAGCTACTGAAAGCTGCGCAATCCCAGGAAAGATTAGGTCTCGGTAATGTGGCATTTGGAAGGGCGACCAATTCCCCTTCATGCTTCGGATGCCATGACCAAAGGGTTCGCAGTGTTCAAGCTACATTGCAAGAGAAGGATGGGGTTGCACTGGATGAAGAGAAATCAGCGGCTATGGAGACTTTGGAGCTTCTGGAGTGGCCCCGAGTGTGTCGTGCAGTGGCTTCGTTTGCTGCAACGACATTGGCCAAAGAGCAGCTTCAGGTGTTGGAGATTCCGGCAACGAGGGAAGCGAGTGAAGCTTTGCTCGAATTGACGAGTGCTGGCGTGGAGTTTATTTCTTTACTGGGCGGGCCCTTCGAGTTGGGCGTGTTGCGAACACAAGTGGTACAGGAATTCGGTTAACCCTATGCCATTTTCGCAAAGAAAATATCATGAGGAATATTTTTCCATGACCACTGTTCTATGCATTTTCTACGTGCAGGTGAAGGATTGCATCCTGCGCATACGCAAGGGTATGGTAGTATCTGGAGTTGAGGCCCTCGCCGTCGCAATGCTTCTGCAAACCAGCGGGAACGTGCGGCGCCAGGTCTCGAATACTGCACAGGAGTTCCAGGACAGGCAAAGTGTTCTGGAGCCAATCGTGGATATGGTTGGTCCCCTGAAATATTTTCGTGGACATGCTGCAACGTAGACTACGTCCTTTCAAACTTGTGGGATTGATGTGGACAATGAGCTTGCAGGTTTGATGAAACTAAATTTTTTTACTTACCTTTGGCAGCTCGGTCCTATGGCGACGCATCCTGAGCTTGAGAAGGGCATATGGAGGATAATAGACGAGGATGGCACAGTCAAGGATAGTGCTGTAAGCTTGTACTACCATAACCTGGAGTGAATTCTTTGTTCAAAGCTGGAAGCTGTTCTGTGTTATTGAGTTGTAGATCCTTGAGCAGTATATTTAACTGAAAACATTGAGTATTGTGTGTGCAGAGTCCGGAGCTCAGGAAAGCTCGTATACAAGAACGTTCAGTTGAGCAACGGGTATGTCTTTAGATTTGATTTTGAGTAATGAAACTCGCCTCTCTGTTTCTTCATCTGAGTTTGTTTTTTTGTGCTAACTTCTCTAGGCTTGTGACATCTTCAGCTTCGAGAGCTTTTCAACAAAATATCACGCGACAAGGGAGCCAACATCCAATCTGAGGTAACATATTGTTTTTTATCCGTTGATTCGCAAATACGTAAGAGGATTTAATTTGTTGATCATAATTGGTCTCTTAACACTTACTAAAAGAACTCACGTGCTCTTTCAGGAGGTCGTGCTAGTGGATGGAAGAATGTGCTTGGTGGTGGCTTCGGACAACCGCAGCAATGTTCCAGGGCTTCTTTTACGAAGGTACCGCGTGCTGTTGTTGCTACTTTTCCTTGCCATTCGTGGCTCTCAGGTTTCAGATGTGAGGTTTTCTGTAGTGCTTCCTGTCTCACCCTCATTATCGTATATTATTGAATGACCAGTGGCTCTGGAGCAACTTCGTACATAGAGCCAGCTGGTGCAGTGCCCTTGAACAACAAGCTCAGCGAAGCCCGAGCGGAGGTTGCCAAAGCAGAGTACAATGTTCTTTCGAGATTAACTGACCAGGTAACGGGTTTTGGGTCTTTAGAGCTGAACTATTCTTGACGGTGCAGCATGATTCTTTTCCCTCGTGAGTATAATCCACTTCTCGTAATTTGCAGAAAATGGAAGCTCCCGCTTTATTTGCACACTACTCATGAACGTTTTTGTTTGGGATGTGCAGCTGAGACCTTACCTAGACGACATTCAGTTTTGTCTCAATATTATAGTCCGCCTCGATGTGGTACGTGATCTTCAGATAGTTGATAATATTGGTCCATCTTATGACTTTATCTTCCTTTGATTACCTGAAGAGTTAACTGTTACGTCAGAATTGTGATACCTTGTAATTGGCCACTTATATTTAGTTTTTTTGTTTGTAATGGGAAGATAATGGCTCGTGCGAGGTATAGCACATGGTTAGGGGCCACCAAACCTACATTTATCGACACCGAATCTCAAAGCCTTGTTAGACTGCAATTGCGAAGAGCTAGGCATCCCCTGCTTGTACAACGACATCGCGAGGCTCTAAGAGATGCCAAAGCTGCACTTAAGTCTAAATCCAAGGTACTCGATATGTTTTTACCAGACACAAATGTTATATCTTCGTTACATGGAGCCCCTGATTTTTCTTGCTATGGTGCTCGTTTTTTCACATCTCAAGGCATTTGTTTGATCAATAGACCCGCAGGCAGTTGTATTCATGAGGTATATTGAACCATGATCCTTCTTGAAGTTGATATGCAGTAATAATCCAATACTTTTTATCAGACATCTAAGGATATTGCGTCCTTCGTTTACTCAGAACCTTGGAAGGCTGAAGTCAAGGGCAGGCACGATGATGGCTCTTCAAGAAACAAAGGCCGCAGTTGCAGAAGCAGAAGCTGAGGTGCTTTTTGCTGCACTTGCCTTGAATATCATCGTAATTCGTTGCTACACAGTCTCAAGTCTTTGGTTTTTAAGGTTTCGTTGGGAATATTTTTTGCCACGTCACTTTGACTCGTGTTTGTACCTGTGCACAGTAGCTTGTTCTCTAGACATATCTGTAGTAGATGAATGAAAGGGTGAACCTAAGGTGATTGTTAGGTGGCAGAACTGGAGGAGAATGCGCCTGTGCCGATCGATGTGCGGGTAGTTGGTGAAACAAAAGTGGTGGCGATTACCGGTCCCAACACTGGAGGAAAGACTGCTACTATTAAGACCGTAGGCTTAGCTGCTCTGATGGCTAAATCAGGTCCTTACCTTTTTTTCAGTTGCCTGTGTACCATGTATATTTCTTCGCATATCAGAATCAGCATTCTTGAGTTCGCCACGCTTCTTTGATCCGCTGCAGGATTTAGGCGTAACCAAATATAGTGTTACTTTTTCAGGACTTTTTGTGCTGGGGATAGAACCGGTTGTGTTGCCGTGGTTCGATGCCGTACTAGCAGACATAGGTGATGAACAGTCGTTAAGTCAATCCCTTTCAACATTCTCTGGTCACCTGCGCCGCATCAAGGTAAGAGTTTGTTCAGGTGAAGTTTGCTTTCTAAGTGTGGTGCTATAGAAGTAAATGACTCAGCAAGAATGTCGGTGCACATGTAGGCATTAGTAGTTGTTTGTCGACTATATGTTGCTTGAATTGTAGGAATTATCGTGTGTTTTCAACACACAGGATCCATTCGTTAAATTTGTGAATTGAGAAGGTATGTTCGTTTTCAAATCTTGCAGCGAATCAAAGAAGTGTCAACTGGCAGCTCGTTGGTGCTACTAGATGAGGTCAGTAACTCTTTCTTCTTTTCATATTAATTTTTTCTAATGGTGACGATTTGTAAATGAAATATTGGTGTTTTATTGTAAGACAAAGAACTCTACTACGGGTGCATGATTGTTTGTAGTTTCTTTAGGTAGGTGCAGGCACAGATCCAACGGAGGGGGCAGCCCTCGGAATGGCCTTACTTGAATCATTCGCTCAAAGTGGCAAGGGAGGTTCATATCTTACCATGGCCACGACTCATCATGGAGAGCTTAAGACTCTTAAGTACAGTGACTCAAGATTTGAGAATGCGTCTGTGGAATTTAGCGAGGAAAAGCTAAGACCCACGTATAAGCTGCTTTGGGGCATTCCTGGTGAGTCTCCTGACAAATCCGTCGTCTGCAGATAGTGATGTTATTGTTCTAGCCTGTCGCCTGGGGATAATATTGAGCTTGCATGCGTCTAGAATATCAAGTCGTTGCTGAATTGTTCTATTTTTTTCCACACACTCGTCTCTATTACTGAAGCTTGGTCATGCAGGGAGATCGAATGCGATCAACATTGCAGAGAGACTTGGTGTACCAAAAGATATTCTAGATGAAGCTAGGACTCTTTATGGTGTTGTCAGCGCTCAGCTTAGTGAGGTAAGATAACTATCAATATACGCTTTCAAGGAGTATCATTAATTTAAGCTTCTCTAGTGTTGTCTATTCTTACGCTGAGCGTATCAATTCAGAAGATTGATTTTCATGTCACTATTAAATACTTCAGGTTATTATGGAGCTCGAACTGGCAAAACGTGACTTTGACCAAGATATAGCAACAGCAGACTCTCAAATCACGTAAGTGTAGAAATCCAACAAAATTGTTCTATCAGAAGGCCTCAACAAGGGCACATGAATTATCAGTTAACATATTAGATGTTGAAAAGCTTCTTGAAATGTACAGGGATTCAAAAATGCTTCTGCAACAGCTGGTTGCTGTGTCGAAGAAGCTCCAAGAAAACCAACACATGCTTGACGTGCAGAGGGCTGATCGTGTAGCGGCAGCTGCAGGAGCTGCAAGGTCCCAGCTCCATGCGATTGCACGAGATGTGAAAAGTAGTACCAAAGTGCCTTTGAAGGTCCCTCCGTCGTTTCAAAACACGAATACCGAGGTGACGCAAGTGAAACAGAACATGAAAGTTGCAACCAACTCTCAAGCTCCTAAAGGTGCTGTCCCAAGCGTTGGCGACATGGTTTATGTGCCCAAGCTTGGTCGAAATGCCAAAGTTGTTGAAGTCAAAACTAGCAAAAAAGAAGTTACGGTCCAATCAGGAGCAATGCAAGTGAAGGTGAAGTTGAAAGAGATACAATGGCCTGGCCTTGTGCAAGCTTAATCAAAGCTTACTCAAGTTCATGACACTTGTACCAGGATAGCAACATGTTGAAAGATTATTCATTTATTTCAAGTGTATTAACACAGTAATGTTGAATGAAGAGCAGGGGCCCCTGTTGTCTTTGCTGTGTACAAAAAACCTTGGTAGAAGAATTTATTCGTAGTATAATGTTTACATAATATTGTATTGTGCACTCCAAAAGAATACCTTCTACCTTAATCCTTACTTTTCTTTGCTTTTGTTTTTTGTGTATCAAAACCCTTAAATGCTTGAAATATTATTTATTTATTTATTTATTTTTACATATTAAAATAATACAGGTTAGTAGTTTGTTCACATCTACACAAAATATAGATTTTTAAAGAATCTTTATAAGAATTAAATTTAATTGTAAAGAAAAAAATGTGATTTTCTAAAATTTGAAAAGTTCCTTTATATGAAATATGTAGTATTTTGATAAATAAGTTAAAAATAATCAATAAATATTAAAATTAATTTTTAAATTTTTGTTTGGGTTGAAAAATAAATAAAAATGGAAGAAGGGCATGAATTAATGAATCTAATTATACTGTAGAAAACACAATATACTCATGAATTATTAAGAAAGAAGGCATATTTATTAAAAATCATGTTTAAAAAGTTTAAAGATTTTGAAGTTATTATTAAAATAAATAATATCACTTTAAATATAACATATTTAAGTAAAAAGATAAATATCTTGAATTAATCAATAAAATATTTTTTAAAGCCATTTTTATGTAAACAAATGCATCAAACTTTACATTGGGTGCAATTTTATCATAAATGGATGCAAATGATAAACTCTATCCTATTGCTTTTCATTTAAGAAAATTTTGAGTACTAGAGACTAATTATAAAACCTACAATAAAGAACTTTTTGCAACTATGGATTCATTCTAAGAATGGCATTATTACCTACAAGGAGCTTTTTATTCCATCATGGTTTATATTGATCACAAGAATCTTTAATATTTTATATCAATACATGTATTAAATTGTTAGTAAGCTCATTGAAGCATGTCTTTGTCACAATTTGTATTTGATATTACATATCATTTTTGAAAACAAAAAAGCTTATTAGATATCTTATCTAGACATTCTTACCTTGCATGAAAAGAAAGAGATGTAGCATAAGAAAGAGATGTAGCATATGATTTATGAAAAAAAAAAATTCTTTTGAAACTAAAGTAATTACACCTTTAGGCCATAAAGTCAACAATTCTTGTTGATACTACTTTCTTTTTTTATAAATTTTGTTCAAATACATTGACAAACCGTCTTGTTCTTGATGCTAATAATAAACTTTACAATGATTCTAAAAATTTTGAATTAAAAAAAAAAAAAAAAAAAAAAAAACTTCTTTATTATATAAGATGTTTATATATTTCCAAAGATAAAGGACAACTTCATGCATTATAAATACAACATAACTTTCTAGCACTATGCTACTTTGAATACATTAAAATATTAGAACTTATTTTAAGAAATTTTTGGTGGTTTCAAATGCAAAAAGAAATAAATGTTCAAACATGTGATACTTGTTTTAGAACAAAGACTCTATTTCATTTATCTTATAGACTTCTTCAACCCCTATCTATTTCAAAGCAACCATGGTCATCTATTTCAATGGATTTCATCACAGATCTTTGACTATCAAATTTTTATGACTATATCTTTATAATGATAGATTATTTTATCAAAATAGATAATTTTGTATTATATTTAAAAATAATTATTAATGAAAAAATAACTAAAGGCTTCTTAAATAATATTTATTAATATTATGGACTTCTAAGTGACAATGTATCTAATTGTGGGCCTCAATTCTTATCAAGCTTTTGAAAGATATTCTTTAATATATTATAGGTTGATATCAAGTTATGTTTAATTTTTCATCCTCAAATAATAAACAAACAAAATGTGTAAATTAAGTATTAGAATAATATTTGTAATATACCATCAACTACTACCAAGACTATTGAACAACTCTTTTGCCATTAGCACAGTTTTCATATGATAATATTATATATTCTTTTACTAAAAAAACTCTATATTTTACTAATTATGGTTATCATTTATAATTTAATATTTTTAGTTTTTAAAAGTTAAAAATCTAACATCATAGGATATGACAAGTAGAATGAAAGATCTTTATACAATAATAAAGATATAATTAAAACAAATTAAAGAATAAGAAAAAATTAATATAGATATTCTTCAATAAGAACAACCTTCATTTAAAGTTAGAGATAAGGTATGGTTTCTTTTTTATAATATTGATATTAATCAATCTTTGAAAAAATTAAATTATTAAAGACTTGGCTTATTTTTTTATCAAAAAAATAAATTATTTTAGTGGCATATTAATTACAATTATCACTATTAATAAAGATTCATCTTATATTCTATATGTCTCTCATTGAGCCTTAGATAACAATCAATATAGTGAGAAGAAAACAATCGCCTCAAGCTCTTGTTGAAATACTTAACAAACAAGAATTTGAAGTAAAAGAGGTCTTAGATTCAAGATGGCATTAAAATAAATTTGAGTATTTCATAGATTAGCCTGGATTTGATATTAGTAAACACACAGAGTATTCTCTTTATTTTTCATCAATAATATCCATTGAAACCAAAGATTAATCATTGATAATAAGATGATATAAATCAAAAAGAACCAAGTTCAAGAATCAACTTATTAAATTCTTTTGTACCATGCAAATTTATCTCAGAAGTTCTCAGTAATTATAATTAGAAACAATAGTAAGAAGATTAATTATATTAAAAATTAAAAATAAGTAGATTCATCTCAAGATTTTTTATTTATAAAATTACCAAATGAAGCACTTAAATTTTTTCAACTTAGAAAATGTTGCAATTGTTATAATTTATATAAAACAAAGATCATAATTTGCTACTAACATCAATTGATTGATTTTGGACTTCATCAACTTATAAAAAAAAGTCACACAATTCCTTGTCAAAGTTGTCACTTAGGAAATGGGATAATGTAATGAATAGCCATATTTATTAGTATATTTACTTAGATAACTAAAATCAAGTAAAAAAAATTAAAAATATGTCAAATTCTTGATATCTTCTTGAAAAGATTTTGAGAAGCTACATAGACTTTACATATGTTTATAAGTGATTAATAGGTTGAAAACTTGGCCAACACATTAGCCACGTATTGTACATTTAGCCACTTATATTACAAGTTGATAATATGGTATATATGTAAAAAATTTATCCTATAAATTAAATACATAACATATAGTCTATACAACATCATTTTACGGATATGTTGTCATAAACGTACATACTTATTCTAATAATTATCTATATGATTAAGTAGAAGTAGGTAAAAATAGATTAATTTAATAATATCTTTTAGAATAGCTTCGTAGAAACTTCATAGATACAATTTTGACTTTACACATATTTATAGTTGACTTTAGGTTAGAAACTTAGTTAATAAATTAGTCACATGTCACACATGTAGATAGCTTGTGGAACAAGCTAACTTTGTGGTACACACATAGAAAACTTACCTTGCAAGTTAAGACATGTGGCTTGTAAAGGTAATACATGTTGGAGGTCATATAGAATGTCACCACGTAGCTCCTAAGTGGATAGTATGTAGAGGCAAGAGTGAAGCTTTTTTTGCTCTTATCAACTCTTTTCTTATTATAGTCTAGATTTAAGAATCTTTAGTATTCTTATCTTTTGGCAATAGCCATTCCAATTTTTTTTTAATATATATGTTTTCTTATTTCTATTTTGTCATATTTCTTTAAAAAATGTCTCATTTAGTTATTTGCTTTCATCAAGTTTTTATCTTTGATAAATTGATAAGAATATATTTACAACATCAGAGCTTTGTCTTTTTTTGATCAAATATAGATTATTTTGTTCTCTTAATAAGACTTAAATATATTAAAATTTATAGATTACCTTCTTCTAAATTGATATTATCTTTAGTATTTTCTTTGTTCTCAAGTCCTTTTTTCTATTTGTCTTGAGCAATATTACATATCTTCTCTTCTCTAAGTATTATCATGACACAACTTCTTAAAATGAAGAATATAATGGCACAAATATAAGAGCAATTGAAGAAATTAATGCTTACAATGTATCAACTCAATTTACCATGACAAAAAGTAATAAGAATGGCAAAAAACAAAGATGTAGAAATGATTGGAATTGCTTTAATATCTCTATCAAATTATGTATCTTTTCTTATGATAGAATATCCTTCTAATATTAAAAAATTAAGAGTTCCACTGCCCAAGAAGTTTGATGGCACAAGATCCAAATTTTGAGGATTTATCAATCAAGTACAACTTATAATTGAACTTCAACTCCAAAGTTATCCAGCTCCAAGATTGGAAGTTAGATTCATTGATACACTTCTTTTAGACTCAACATTATCATGATTTTTATCTTTTCTTAAACAACAAGATTCAATATTAGATAAACTAGAGTCTTTTTTGGTAGAGATTTGTTCAATGTATAGAGAACATGATATAATTCATGTTGTAACTAAAAAAATATGTATTTTACAACAAGACAATCAATTAATAATAATATATGCTTCACAATTTTGACAAATTGCAACTGATATGAAGTGGATTGATATTGTATTGGTTAGCCAATTTTTCTATGGATTATAATATGAAGTAAAAAAATTGATGTTCAACTTATCTGATCTTTAAACATTGAGTCAAGAAATTGATTTTGCTATGAAATGTGACAATTGTTTTTTTGAATTTTGATCTAAAAGTTGCATAAGTGTGCCTCAATGTTAGTATAATTCAATGGCAACACTGATGTTTTTTTAATATATATATTACAAAGTAGAAGATATACAAATTGATATAGTATGTTTCAAATCTCTTAGTAAGCAAGAAAAGACTCATCGTCATTAAGAAGAATTATGCTTGTATTATAGAGAATCTAAATACACTACTCAACATTATCTAAAGAAGCAATGTAATTATAAAATGAAGAATATGGTTGTCAAAGAAGATAGTACATTAAAATACAAGTTTATTTAGCTACAATAGGAATTATGTGATTGAAATCTTATACAATACCTAATGAAGATTCTATTCTCTTTTTTAGAATCCTATCCTTGTTTTATAATAAATATTATTTTAAGGCCTAAATATCATAAAACCTTTGCCTTATTAGATTTGGAAGCTTCAACA